GAGTGGTAATGATGGCCAAGGCTGAGGAGTTGAAGCGTAGTGGAGCTCAAGCCTCTCGGTTCTTAAGTTTTAGATAGGTCATCACATGGTTGTTGACAGTGGTGGGACTTAGAGTAGAGAAGGCTTACGAACCAGGAACCTGAGTTTAGGATGAATGTGAGAGATGACTGGAAGTTTAGTTGATGGTAGGGACAAGGATAAAGTGGCTAGAAGGCGTGAACCTCAAAGGAAGAGGCATTTGTTTTCCTCACTGACTAACTAAAATAATGCTGGAGCATTCTGTGCTGGGAGTAGTGGAGTGTGGAAAAATGAGCACCATCCATTTTGAAAAAAGTATTTGAGAAGAGAACCAAGATTTAATTAAGCTAGAGAGATGAAGACAGCTTTTGTGAAGAGCTAGCAAGTGTGTAAGTACGTGTGTGTGTGCGTGTGTGTGCGTGTGTAGGGGAAGAGGAGTATGTATATTTTTTTTTATCTTAAAATAGGAATTCTGGAGGCCTCCATGAAAAGGATTGGGAGGGAAGAGAACAGTGAGAGGGAAATAATGGTGGGAGGGAAACAAAGAGAAAAATTCAGATGTATAGGGACTATATTTTGGACAGTTGCCAGGGATGGCAATGATGGGAAACATGGAGGGATTAACTGACTTTAGGCATCTGAATGATACTTTGGAGTAAAGTTTTTCACTGGGCGCAGGTTGCATCCCATTTGGAGGCCTCATAGGACTAAGCGTTTGTAGCCTTTGCTTAGAATTGGAGAACAGGATTAGTTAATTCCCAGGATTCCTTGCCCAGTGGTAGAAGCAGTAAGAGATCTCTGCCCCTCCCCAATCCTAATCAATCTGTGTCTTTGGTTTATTTTTCCAGCTTCTTAAAACGTTTTTTAGGCCTTGATTTTTAGCTACCATACGTTAAAATACCTTGTGAATGTTATTGATTACTATATAGATACAGCTTTCATGCCAAAATTTAGATTAAAGGAAAATTTTGAACAGAACAGTTTGATCAAAATGAATGTTACCAAATCATGTTTTCTAGTGTTGGTAACTTTGTGATTTTTGTAGCCCTTTAGGTTGTTCCAGCTAATCTTCCATTATTAGCCGTTTCATTTGTTGACTTTTTACGTTATAATATTTATGTACATTTAGTTCTGGTTTTCTCCTATCACAAATATAGAAGAGTAAGGAAAATAGTCCGGAAATTAGGAGAGAAAAATATATTAATATATGGGGGGAAATCCTGGAAAAGCAAGAATAATTCGCTGAAGATGAATTAGAAATAAAACCTTTAAAAGCCTGAAAACTAGATGGAAATGCTTCAAAATGCCTTAAAAGTTACAAAGTACTGTTTGAGAATATTAATTTTTAAATTTTTTATTTTTTTAAAAATTAATGTCTTCTGTTTGGTCAGTTTTCTTTTGCCCTGTCAGGTCATCTGCTGTAGCTCCTTTCTCCACTTGCCAAACAACACCATACATGCCTTTTTTTCTCTTACTTTCTTATTTACTGATGTATTACAACTTTTGAAACTCCCTGTTTTCCTCAGTGTTGTGTTACTATAATAACAATAATCCTCTATAGTGTTCATCTACTTTTACCCATGAATAGGTGGCATTTCTCCACCATTCAACCTGTATCCATTCCTTAAAGATAGTTTTGAAATGTAAAGTATGCCTTGAGTTGAAAAATAAGTAGAAAAGTATATACATCTATAGATAACTAACCCATGGGCATGAAGTCAGTTTTGTACTTTTTTTTTCAGGTGAATAAAGACCTTCTGACTCTTGATTAAAGAAGGGGCAGTACCTCAGTGTGACTTGCAGTGGCGCATTCACAGTGTGCATGAAAACATGCAGTACCACTGTGTCTGGCTGAGTAGGGGGAGGAGGGAGGGGTCTCATAGGTGGGTTTTTGGGAAATTTTGTATTTTGAACAGAATTCAGCCACTAGTGGAATTACGTTGATTGTTAGGAAGTATATATGATCCAGAAAGCAGCATCTTAAATCAAACAGCATCTCTTTTTCTGAGTAGAGTGAAAAAAATTCTCTCAACCTGATGAAAAAATATCCTATCTTGATCTCAGAAAGTTGGATTTGAGAGATATTTAACCTTCTTTAATGTCTCAGAAGTAACTCTTCATTTATTTAGTAATCAGTTAATTAAAATTTGTATTTTTAAAACAATTGGTTTACTAATGGGGACAAATTTGGTTATAGCATGTATAATGGTTTGTTTAATTTTTGATTGGTGAAAAACATACTTTGAGGTTTTTATTTTATTAGAATCTTAACATATTACATGTGGGGGAACAAAATGTATTTTAATGCCTTATTCTAGATGTAGTAAAAAGTTATGGTAATAAATGTGTTTCTAATGAAGGGAAAATAAGCAAGTTTAAGTTTTGTTTTACTAAGTATCAAAAAAAGAAAAGCAGGCCAGGCATGGTGGCTCATGCCTGTAATCCTAGCACTTTGGGAGGTTGAGTGGGGAGGATCCTTGAGCCCAAGTAGTTTGTGGTTGCAGTGAGCTGTAATGATGCCACTGCACTCTAGCCCGGGCAACAGAGTGAGGCCTTGCCTTTAAAAAAAAAAAAAAAAGAAAGAAAGAAAAGAAAAAAAGGAAAAGTGAGAGGGATTGGTGATTTCAGTCTTTTAGAAATGGTTGACATCCCTCTGCCTTGGTTCTTATCTCACTTCTGAAGGATTAAATTCTTCCTTATTTTTTTCCATAGTGTGAAAATGTGGTTATTACTCTTTCCTTGGTAATTGATATAATTCTAACCCAGCCCTGCTTTTTAGTTACTTTAAGTTGAAATGTAAAGGAGCAATTGGTCCTGTACATTTCAGGCTTCTATATAATGACTGATAATCACAATGATGACCCCAGAGCATCAAAAAATGCTATATACTATATATCCAAAATTGAGTTTTTTTCTCCAAAAAAAATATTTTTTCCCAGAAAAGAGGGAACTGCCTTACATTTGAGTCTGTAATTAGGTTCTTACTATAAATTTCTCTTTTTATTCTGAAAAACAAAATACTGTTTGGTGAAGAGCCTGAAACTATTTCATTCCAAGTTGATTTTGAATGCATAGAGAAGATTTACTTGTTGGATTCAGTGAAAAAGTAATCAAATAAATTTAGTAGATATATAATAATTTTTCCTAGGGATATGACCTTAAAATTTTGCATTGATACCATTGAAAACAGACTTTGTTTTCCATTCCATTCAAAAATATCACTTAAAAATAGTACAGTTGGTGATTTCTTGTAGAAATCATAAGGTTATACTGCAGAAGTGAAAAAGCCAACTACAATATGACAAAAATAGGAACTTTTGGATAAATTTGCAGGGATAAATTGGGATAAATTTGTAGTCATAGCATTTTATTCATATTCAAAAAGTGCTGTAACCCAATCAACTTCAATGGAAGTGAAGATAATTTGCTTTCAAAAAGTGTGTTAGCCCCAGGCTCAGTGGCTTACATCTGTAGTCCCAGTTACTTGGGAGGCTGAGGATCCTTTGAGCCCAGGGAATTGAGGCTGCAGTGAGCTATGCTGATGTCATTGTGCTCCAGCCTGGGAAACAGTGAGACCCCATCTCTTTAAAAAAAGTGTTAAATAACTCAAAAGTGACTCCAATGATAAGGAATGCACTGATGTCGAAGATGTGCATAAGGATTTTGAATGAAAGTTTTTGTGAAACGTGAAGTTAGGAGAAAAGTCAGTATCTAAATTATCATGATTTATTGTTATTTTAAGTCTCTGTGTGCCACTAACTTAAATTTCGTAAGTAAGCATTCTGCTGTTTTATCTGTATACCTCTAACAGTTTATATTCAAGCTGGCCAGAAAACTTTTTTTATGTTCTTATTAAGAGCATGGTAGGCCGGGCGCGGTGGCTCACACCTGTAATCCTAGCACTCCGGGAGGCCGAGGTGGGCGGATTGTTTGAGCTCAGGAGTT